CATTGAAGAGAGTTTGCTAATTCACCATTCTTTATCAATTATCAGGTTTCTGCTGTAGGTCATGCAGCCATGTTAGCAGCAATCAAGAGATACATGCCATCTTTGGTAAATTTCATCCATTCATAATTTTGCTCTTGCTATATTTCTTTAATCTTCGCCAAGTTCTTACATAGTCATCTTGTTGACTAGATTCCTTCACCCTACTCTTCTGAACGGCTTGCATTAATGAAGCAACTAAAGAGAACGAAGAAGATGGCAATTCGACGGAGCAATAGTATAGGCTAAATTTCCTTGAAAGTTGACTAATCCAGTAATGAAGATATTAGCTACTTAACACTGCTCTGAAATAGCTGTATTGTCCATTAAAGCATTGATGGCTTGTTTTGTAAGGAGGATGGACACCATTGTACAGTATTAAGAAATAAAAATAAGTTAAAAACGTATCTTTTGTATTGTCCTGTTATATTCATGCAAATATTGTGGATTACATATGCAGAATCTGTAGATTTCACAAGTTTAATCATGTATATGAATTTGGCTTCTCTCTTTTTTTTTTTTTCTTTTAATTTTATAAACTATACTCAAGGCCTCAATTAGTCTATATATCTTGTACAGTTTACTCGGTTAAATATAACATAATATGTCCTCAGAACGTTTATATTTTTATTTTGGAAGTGAAACTATGCATGACTAAATTAAAAGGGTTAATATATCATCCCGTTCACTGCATAGTTAACAAGTTGAACTGCCATGTGTTGAATGGATAGGATACATGTTGAATTCCTAGTAGAGCCTTCAAGGCACAGTCCGACCCATTCATTAATTCAAACTTTTAAACAGTTACACGGGCCGAGGACACTTACTATTAGGTCCAGGCAGTAGTAAAACTGGCCTGGTCCGAGCCATCACGCACACTTTGGATCCTATTGTCGGGCCATGCCTGGCCCTACAGGTTGAAAACTCTGCCAAGAAGCTCGGTCTGTTTTTACGCCTAGGTGATGTCTACGGTTTATTGTCAAGAATGCTTGTTACTATTTTCATCTGTCATGAGAAGGTAAAACCATCAAACCTATCCGACATCAGATAAGATGAACAAGAACCACAAATTCAATTCATTAAATTACCACGCAAAATGCAATATCCATACAGATTCAAGCTATCATAAAAGTGCCACTGTTTTCATCCAAATATCCCTAAAAATGGGAATACTTCAACTCAACTCACATAATTTAGCTTCTTTCTCAGCATCCCAGAATTTCAAGAACACACCCCACAGAACTTCTGAGGGCTTTAATAATCTCAGTTTTCCCCGAAGGAAAATCCCAGCCGTTGAAACTGCACGCCAGAGTGAACCTGAGGCTGCAGTATCAGAAGAAGAACAGACTGAGGCTGGAGTGAATTTTGCATTTGTTAGTGTGAGTTCAGTTTACTATTAACTATCATATTTGGTACGCTGATTTGGACAAAATAGCAAAATTGCATTTAATGTCTGACAAACTGGACAGGAACAGTCGAGAAACATTTCGAATATTTCTCTTATTTAATCATGTCTAATTCAATCAATGTCTCAAACATCATATTAATATACATAAAAATTGTAATCGTAGTGTGACTGTGTCAAGTTTATGCGTATTTTCCTAGTCTGTTTTGCTTCCAGATGGAACGCCGGATGTGCACTATAGAACAGCCAGTGGTGGACAGAAACTTAGAGACATAATGTTGGACAACAACATCGAATTGTATGGACCATACGTAAGCCCCTGTTCTTTTCGTACATCTAGCAAGGACTGGCGTAGGCAATTTTCATAGCCGTCCCATCATCCAAATTTATCGAGTTCTATTTTAACGTTTCAGGCTAGACCTCTGCTAAATTGTGGGGGAGGAGGAACCTGTGGAACATGCCTCGTCGAGGTTGTCGAAGGAAAGGAAATATTGACTCCTCGTACGGACAAAGAGAAGGAAAAATTAAAAGGGGTATGGAGTTTTCTTTTTCTTTCTTAATACTGTCTAGTAGTATACGACATACTGCTAAATGGCTAATTAGTTCCATTTGCAATTTCAGAATCCAAAGAATTGGAGACTGGCTTGTCAAATCACTGTTGGCAATGAAGATTCCAGAGGACTGGTTTGCATTCCTTTTTCTCGATCATTTTCTATAATTTCTCCATACTGGTCATTCTTTACATTTTACAAGTAGGCCGGAAAAAAAAAATAGAGGGTAGGCCGGGGCAGCCCCGACCTGCTCTGGTGTAAAACAGGTGTGGTTTGTCTGTGACCCGGGCTGCTTCGGACTTAAAGTCGAGGCATGTGTGAACCTCTATGATAGTACCTGCAAGACCTTATTTACACCACTACTTTCTAGTGACATTCTTTAGTATTGAACAATCCGCTACAATTCTTTTGGTACAATTTTCTCGTCTAGTTTAGTGTCATATGACCTTTTTCCTCCATGAATTTTAATTCAAATAATTCATTACATTCAATCAGAAAATTTATATGCATATTTGCTGTACTGAACTAAGATAACGGAAAAATACCTTCCTTCATAATAATACTTCAATCCAACCTATCTAACATGACGTAAGCGTTAACGACACTAATCCTAATCCATCTGAAGTTTAGAATGTTTTATTTTTCCCCCCTTAATGATGCAGGTTGTAATCCAACAACTTCCTGAATGGAAAGGGCATGATTGGGTTTATGGAAAAGAACCACCAGAAGACGAAACTTCCACTATTTGACATTGTAAATTACACAATCAAAATTTCTGCTTTGGATCCTGAGGAGTTATTCAAAATCAGATACTGTTGGTGCCCTCTTCTTGTAGAGAATAAAGCTAGATCAAGATTGCAATAGATTCATCATGTTACTTTTTTCGTCGACAAAATTTGATGTAATAGAGACTCAAGAGTATAATGAATAAGATTTTAACTTGTATTTTTTAATATTGTTCAGTATTATCTTATTATAATAAGAAATCATCAAAAGAAGGTGCCAATAGCATCTATAGAGAAGTGGGACCAAACCATCGATTAAATGATCTTTAAGAAAGCAACATTACACCAGAAAATGGATTTACAGCAAAGAAACCATAATGAAATAAGGGAAGAAAAGCAAAAATTTCCTGTTCTTCCTTTCATTACCAAAAGAAAAAGTACAAATTAATTTAGAAGTCGGTAGCTAGGGGAGCGTGCTCGTGGGACATGAACACATTGGCGTAGATGAGCCCGGCTAGGCCACCACCAATGAGGGGTCCAACCCAGTAAATCCAGATGCCGGAGAAGTTACCGCTGGCCACAGCTGGTCCGAAGGAGCGGGCAGGGTTCATCGACCCACCAGAAAATGGACCGGCAGCCAAAATATTGGCTCCAACAATGAAACCAATGGCAATGGGTGCAATTGTGCCCAATGAGCCCTTCTTTGGATCAGCTGCTGTGGCATACACAGTGTAGACTAAAGCAAATGTGATGACAATTTCCATAACAACTCCTTCAATGGCTCCAACACCAGCACCAACTCCATGAGTTGGAATAGCCTGCATGAAATTATTTATTTTGTTAGGAATCGAACTAATCAGGCTAGTTTAGCCAGAGAAATCGAGACTCGACTATTTAAAAGTGTGTAATAATATCGGAATTGAATTTTAAAATATTACTTTATCTAGTCCAACGTACCAAACATGTGAATTTCACTTTTCAATTATAATTGAACTTACCAATCCTCCGGTAACAAATACGAGTAAATAACATGCCACAATAGAGCCCAAAAGTTGAGCAATCCAGTAAAAGAGGCCAGTAAGTAGTGTAATTTGGCCGCCGAGAGCTAAACCGAAGGTGACTGCGGGGTTTACATGGCCACCGGAGATGTTGGCTCCTATCGAGACGGCTACAAACAGAGCAAAACCATGGCAGACGGCCACTGCCACAAGCCCCGCTGGATCAAGGGCCGCGTCCGCCGTCAACTTGTCTGTCAAAAGATCAAAATGTTACCAAGTGCTTGTTAACCAAAAAATTTTAAATTTTAACCATGGGACCTGTATCAACTTTTCAACCATGCATTTTATCAACATTTATCAAAATTTTTGTCACACAGGTTATATCATACCGGAGTTATCATGACATGCATCTATAGAAGTTTCATTTTAGTTATCGAACTTTTTCTGTAATTCAATTTATTTGTTGAATACTTGAAAGTGTAACGAAATAAGAGAGTGGTTTTAGTACTAACTGTAGGCAATGGCGGAGCCGACGCCGGCGAAAACGAAGAGCAAGGTGGAGATGAATTCAGCTACATAAGCCTAGTTACTCGGTTACGTTTTACTTAGACCAAATCTTCCGAAAGCGATTGCAGGCATTTTGATGGTTAGAAAGAAGTCTGAAGAAAATTTTCTTGATTACAAGAAGACTGTGTTTTTTCTGATGACACACAAATTTCCTTTGTCACGTATATATAGAGAGAATACACATATATATAATAATATTGGACTTTATTTAAATCCAATCATGGTTTCTTTCCATAGCATATGCTTTTTTGCCTTGTTCCAGGATAAAAAGGAATAATGGCCCGTTTGGCAGGGTTTTGAAAATTAAAAAAAAAAATGCTTTTAAGATTTAAAAGTTGCATTTGAATATGTTTGCATAATTTTTCGAAAATGTTTTATCCGTTTGGCCTCTAGTTTTTCAAAACTCATTTTCAAACAATCATTTCATAGTCTCTACATTTTTTATCAATTTTCAATTATATATTTAATCAACTTTTATCAAAATTTACCAGATTTTTAGTTAACCAAATAGAGGGTATAATTGGAGTGGGCGGATCGATTTGTCGGGAAAACAGAAATTAGTACAAGTCCAACTTGAGTATAATTGAAAATCGGAACATAAAATCCACTAAAACGACTTTAGAATTGACCGATTCACCTGTAAATCGGGTGAACTAGACTAGTTTTACCGAGTTGTTATTAAAAATAGATCTTTTTTTATGTATCTTTTTCTTCAATTCCGAATAAGTTCAACGTAGTAAACATAAAATTATGGTTAAAGGTGGTGTGGGACGAGTTGAGTGATATTCCAATCCAAAACTAAATCGACAAGATGAATAATCTGGCTTGAAACAATCATTCTTTTAACTAGATACCTCAAAATTGAGGTTTTTGAATTGGTCCAAACAAAGGCAAAAATCGTACCGACATTCCTCCAAACCGATCGAAACCAAGCTGACTCGAGTCGGTTAGAAGAATAATTTGGTCACTCCTAATTATTGTGGGAGTTCCTTGTACAGGGGAATAACTCACGGGCAGACAGTGTAGATGTGCTGTTAGTATACTGAAAAATGGCCCAAAATCAATGAAAAATGATGTGTTTCCATGGAAAAAATCTGTCGAACTCCCCAGTACACATATCATCACTCTTATTGGGGGAATCTGTAATGAGATGTGCTTGGTTAATTTGTGGGTCCCACACTAATGTGAGAGGTTGTAAAATTTACAATCATCTAATGATTGTAAAAAATATGGACCAACCTTAGTGTACAGGTATCCCTACCGAACACACACAAGCAGGGGTGGGGTGGGTATTTTTGGGATAATTTTTAATGAGACGGGTCCCGCATCATGTGAGAGGCTCGACTCTACCGGGTATAATTCAAAATATTAGTTGAAATGATGAATTATTTTTTAAACTGTTCAATGACAACACGTCACGTGATATGTTTACCTGTATAGTATCTTTGAAGGAATATTATAAACATGATGATATTATAAACATGATGATAAATCCATTGATATCCAATCAAATTTGAGTTGCAATCCTAGCTGTCACCGGCATGGTGTCATAGAAATGTCTAGAGAGTGGACATAATATTCCATGTGAACTGCTCTGGGAGTGGGTGAGTGGGGTCCCCTCGTTAGTGATGTAAATGATTAAAAACAACGGTGATGGAGGCATGACCAACTTTGGTCCACATACTACGCCGACCAGGTAATGAAATAGTCGATTATTTGTTTATATATTTATTTATTTATTCAAAGTCCGTGGATAGGAATGGATTAGGGAATTATATTATGTTTAATCTGCATTTAATTGGGGTTTACTGATGGAAATTAGCCGGCTGGATAAGGATGGTAGAGACTAGAGGGAATCTAAACGCAGTGAATACTACCAACGATATTGTTTACCATATATATATATATATATATATAAAGGATAAACCACATCCTTATCAGTCTCCACCTGCCATGCACTGAGTCTTGGTGAAAGAAGTAAATCGCAGATTATGCCTCCAAGGAATAAAATTTATTATTAATAATAATTTGTTGAATTATCACGACTCTCTGAAGGAATGTGCTCACTTAAATAATTGATTTATAATGAAAAAGGAGGGAGAGAGCATTTCAAAAACACAATAATTTCGTAAAAGATGGCAGGACATGGTGAAGCACATGAGAATCACATACGACGAATTAGTAGTTATGAAAAAAGACAACCGAATTTAATCACAAATAGCAGCCAAATAATGACCATAGCTATAAATACTCAATTCATATGAAGAATAATGCTACTTGCTTTGCTACAAGATTTTTTTACATATTAGTCCAGCTTTAATTTTTTTTTAGTTCGATCATGAATCCGTCCATGATGTTCGTGCTAATGCTATGTGTTGTCTTGTGTTAGCAAAGGCACGCTAACTTGATGGGTTAATATGTAAAAAAATCTTGATGGGTTAACAGTCAGAGAATCCTTGACTATATCACCGTGAATGCAACTTAAATGAGAGAGATCTCTTAAACTGGAAGTGCAAAAATACGTTTTCTTTACTTCTCGTGTAGGAACAAAAGGTGAACTCTCATACTTGGTGTTTATTTGACATAGTTTATTTAAAAATTATTTTTTATCAAACTCAATTTCAGTCATACGTTTTCTTAATAAAATAAAATTTTGCATGCGAACTCATTAATTTTCCTTTTTTTCGTGTTCTCCAAAAAAATTATTTTTTCCCCCTCAAGTAATCTCTCCCATACAAACCCTAATTCTGTTTTGCCCAATGTTTTCCCACAGGTCCGGATTTTATTTAAAGTCACTGTCGAAGGCACAAGAAAAAAAATGTCGATATGTCCGAGTGGTTAAGGAGACAGACTCGAAATCTGTTGGGCTTTGCCTGCGCAGGTTCGAATCCTGCTGTCGACGTATTTTCTCATTTTGCCTTTACTCTTAGCTTGATTTTATATTTTAATTTAATTCATTTGAAAAGGCCAAAAAATAACGTTGAATTGCGAGATCGGGAGAGAAAATGCGAACAGAAAATAAGTACATGAAAATCATGTAAAATAATTCATAACTATGATCTGCAAGTGCGAGACTCTAGCTTCTTTATCTTCATCAACCAGTAGAATTTCATTAATTTCTCCTCCAAAAGATGCTTGGATTTTTGTAAGAAACAAAACAACAGCTGTAGTGGGTTACATTCTCTCTTTTGGAAAATGTCATTTGTACACTCCAGAGTGTACATCATACTTGACATTCACTTTATTTTTAAAAAAATTGTTTGTGGGAAAACAATTTTTTTGTCCGAAATTGTCAATTTCCCACATGGCAAACTATCACACTTAGCGTACACCAAGGATGATTATTCTCTTTTTATTTATAATATTTTGTTACATTTTAATTATGTAAATATAAATGATTGTGCTGTGTAGGTTACTTCTTACATCCCAGTGCTCAACTTTGGATAGACAATGAAAACT